CATTTTGGGAGGGAGCAGCATCACATATGAACAAAGGAAGAGGAGGGAGCAAAGAGGGTGGGCATGCATTTGTACGTGTGCATGTGCATTTGGTACACTTTGGATCCCACCTCATTGCATTGTGATTTCAAGGCAAACTAAAAATGAAACACAAAAATACAAGGAAATGAGCAAACAATAAGATTGGAGAACAAATTAACAGCATAAAAAGTGTAAAATCCCAAATGCTAAAAAAAATATTAACAGCTGCAGACTGCATGGAACATAATATGCATGAAAGAAGAGAGACCCAATTTTAAATGTCTGGGGTAAATAAAACTCTGTGTATTTCTGGCACCGGGGATACACTGGTTCCATAAAGCATTGCAGAGCCATGCCACCTTTGCAAGGAGAACAAGTGAAGAAAGTCTTTGGTGTAGATTATCTCAAAGAATCAGAAGTTCATAGGACACTTATCCAGATTGCATAGATGCCCCACTAGTGAATTTCTGCCTCGCTGCTACTTCCAAAGGATGCTTTTGCAAACTTCCCAAAACTATGGGGAACACAAAGGTTTGAATGAACCTGCCTGGAGAGTCTGGTATGTGGCTATTTGTAGGGAGGTAGAAGTATTTTGGGGTCTTTGATGTGGACTGAAGCTTTGGACTCCAGCAAAGCAGAATTGCAACCCAGAGTTCCCTTTCTCCAATCTGAAGCTGGGCTTCAACTCTTGTGCTTCTTGCATGCTCCTTTCTCCTTGCTTGGGTTTGTAGGATGGTGGTGGAAAATTGTTCTTTGTGCATTAGTTCTTTACATCTCATGTTAGTTGGGATGCATCCACATTGTAGAATTACTGTAGCCTACTATATCCTGGAGATGAGACCCAAGTCTAAACACAGCATTCATTTATGTTTCATTTCATATGCAACTTATACACATAGCCTGAAGGTAATTTTATACACAATATTTTTTAATATTGTGCATGAAACAAAGTTTGTATACAGTGGGCCACTGGTATCTGCTGGAGTTTGGTTCCAGGACCCCCCATGGATACCAAAATCCATGAATGCTCAAGTCCCATTAAATACAATGGCATAATATAATGGTGACCCTTATATAAAATGCCAAAAAGCAAGATTTGCTTTTTGGAATTTATATTTTTCAAGCCATGGATGGTTGAATCCATAGATAAAGAATCTGCGGATGTGGAGGACTGACTGTAGATTGAACCACCCGAAAGCAAAGATGTCACTATCTCAGCCATCCATGTGGACAATTTTGAATTCTGGAATATTTGCATATACCTAGTGCAAATCTTGGAGATGGAACCCAGGTCTAAACATCAGTTATAGTTACAGATTTGGGAGTATTTTGGATTTCCGGATGAGGGAGACTCACTCAACCTGTAATTCTGTAGTGTGGATACACTTCACTTCCTTTTCTTCCTACCTGTTTTCCAAAGTAACCCATCACCATCGCCATACATTTGTCATGGGTTTTGGAGAGATGGGAAGGAAGAGAAAGCCACTGACTAATGCTCTTTTTTTGGGTGTGTGTGTGTGTGGAATTACAGTATTGCACTCAGGGGATTATTACTTGTTCGAGACGGACAGCGAAGAAGATGAGGAGTCAGTTCTGGAGGATCAGAAGCCGCCCAAGCAGAGCGCCTTCCAGGTGAGGAGCAAGGGGCGAGAGGCTGCTTGGTTGAACAGTCATGCCTTGACAACAAGAGGGTTTTTCCCTTACTCCTGACTTACTTACTCCCTGCTTCCAGCTGGCATATCAGGCCTGGGTGACCAACA